CCCAAGTAGCTGGGACCACAGGTGCCCACCACAATTCCCGGCCATTTTTTTTGGTTGCAGCCGTCATTGTTGTTTGGCAGGTCCGGGCTGGGGATTCGAACCCACCACCTCAGGTGTATGTGGCTGGCGCCCTAGCCGGTTGAGCCACAGGTGCCGAACCTAAAAAATTGCTTTTTAACCTTAGGTATGTTGACACTTTGATAGCTTAACAAAGGAACATTTTTATTCCCTTGTCCAGGGTGTGGTGAAGAATCAGTCTTGAGATTATAAATTTAATTGTAGTAGGTGTGGTGAGGAGGAAAAAAAATTCTTAGGTTTATATAACTCTTTTTTTTCCTCTCCAAAGGAGTTAGTCTTTATTATCTTGGTAATATATTAACTCATGGAAAGATACTCATCTTTTCATTTTTTCTTCAAGTATTCATTAGTATTTTTTTAAATTGAAAGTCTTCACATTTTTCTAAGGTTTAAAATGATCTTTTATCTGAATAAGACCAAAGTAAGTAGTTGCTAATAGGGTAGTTTGTTTCTTTACTTATTTTAGGGATTCATTTGTATAAAAATAAATGTTTTTTATAATAACAGTTTGCTGTAAAATATATTTAGATAACTAAGCTGCTTTGGGGAAAAAAACACAAAAAGTCCAATTATGTTAGTTTTATGGTTAGAGAATATCACATAATTATTTATAATCTTCTCTGCTCAGCTGATACTTTGGTACTGGAACCCTCTTTTAAAGACAAGGAAAGACACCTGTGCTTTAGTTAATTAGCAAATATTTAACTTGTTTTTATGTTGTTAGGATATCAGGTTATGATTTAAACTTTGTGCTTTGGGGCTGTTGATAGATTTATTCTTACTAGATTGCCAGGTATTGTTATGAGTTAGAGCATATCAGCTAAGCAAGTAATATTAAAATCAGGAAAATAGCAGAATCTAATTCTTTTATTCTTAAATATTCTTTGTTTTTTGGTTTTAGGTTATGGATGATGAATCAGATGAAAAAGAAGCAAACTCACCCTAAAATAATATGGATTTTCTTTGGGCACAAAAGTTGGACTTGTTGACACTATATACTAAGCTTTTATTATTAATATGCTAAGGAACTTGAGGATTAATAAAATATACCCTTTCTTCAGAGAATGATATATAAATACTGCATGTCTGCTTTACCTCATAGGAGTTATTTATAACATCCTGAATCATCTCTACACATGGACTTTATCCAAGGATATTTTTATTTTTGTTCCTCATTTCTCATGGTTCCTTTTTTACATATGTGTAAAGCAGTTTAAATACATTTTCCCTCACTGAATTTACTTTTCAATTCAAAAATAGTGAGAATGCTTTTTAAAATATTCTAAAATGGCTTAGCTTTTTGTGAGATGTCTGAAATTATTTTTATTGACATTTAAAAAAAAACTCAACAATTCTGGTTTAAAAATGGAATCTGGCTACTGGACCCTACTGTAGTAGTTGTAACTTCTCACTGAAAGACCCACACTTTGACCACCAAAAAATAATGCTAAAGCTTCAAAAACTAAATTCCAGAATCTAGACACAATTTCCACTGGTTATAAAATAGAGCAGAATGAGAAAAACTGCCTCAGTATGCCTAGTCTTCACTTTATAAAGCAAAATCTCTGAAAAAAAGATGAAAAGCTATTTTGGTCCTTCTGCTGGCTTATCTTGGCTCAGAGATTCATATCTGTGCCATGTCAAAAATTTGGACAGCTATCTTTCGTATTTTTTTTTGAGACGAAGTCTCAAGCTGCCCTCCTGGGTAGAGTGATGTGACGTTACAGCTCACAGCAGCCTCCATCCAACTCCTGGGCTTAAGCAAGTTTCCTGCCTCTGCCTCACAAGTAGCTGGGACTACAGGCACCTGCCACAA